TATCCAATGATCAAGCATAATTGTTACAAATAAACTTAAAATGTTGTAATAAGCCCTTGCACCTTTTTAACAAAGAAAGGTGTGAGAGTCCTTTCAGTCACAGGCACCAGGTTATATGTCCATTGAAGTTTAAAATAGTAATTGATTTAAATGACACTTGCTTACAATATTGTTCTCGCATAGATTTTTTTTCATTATCAACAAAAGTTTAAGCATTTTACAAGGGATTAGTCCACATGTTACAGTTTTTCTTCTTCCATATTTCATTTTTTTTCTTTCATTTTTAATTTGTACGTTTAAGAAACACCTTTTCGACGAATAGCACGCAACACCACACTATATGCTTAACTGTCAGCAAGTTTACTCGATATCCCGTGAAAGTGAATTATGTTCCTCTTCATAGTAGGTATAATTAGATAATATTTATGATGCCGACGCGACGCTAATTATCATACAAGTTGATTATTTAACAGAAGGAGATAGTCTCAATGGTGAGAGTTCGGTCACAGGAATTAGAAGCCCTTTGTGTATCCACGAAAGCAAAGGTAAGTAGTAAGACGATAATTAGTCGTAGCGTGCTTCCTTTATGATGATTACTATCTTGGATAATAGTATATTTTTGTTGTATCCACCGCTACTGCCGCGAACCTCCTCTGCCTCTGCCGCGACCACCATCTCGATCCTGTAAAGAAACGCAACGATCATTTTAAGAACTATGAAATCGAATTCTATTAATTATCATACTTCAGAAGTTATTACTTACTTTGCGTTGATGATGCAAGTGCGGTTGATGGAGATGATGTTCTCTTGGCATATCTGTATGTCCCCTATTTCTATGATTGGAAGAGTGATGATGTGGTATAGCATTTGGCGGTGCTTTACGCTGGTCGTCTTCGGCCTGCTTGCGTTCATAATGTCCAAAGTCATCAAAGATACTCGTCGAGTGCCGATACGTATGCAATATACGTAACACTGTCACCCCTTTTGCATGAGGGACTTCCTGTGCATCCCTCGAATTAGTTACCGGTTTATTCTCATTGTTTTCTAGTTTAATGTGACGAAGTTGCACATTAGGAACATCCTTTACATAAATCCAACGTACACGGAATTGACCTTTCCATTTATCTTGAGACCAAACAGAACTGTTACTCTGATAATCAACAGGCGACACCATTTGTGCCATACCACAAAAATGACCAGATCCGTTCACAGAAAAGAACAAGTATAAAGGTGCACCTTCACGACTGGCTTCTCTGTATGCTTGATCTAATCTTTTGTTACCATGTTCAGTACTGCACCAAATTTCATATTTAATGGATCTATGAATATCATCTTCGGAATAAGATTTAATAACAAAAAACCTAGCTCCTGGAGCAGTTTGATCAAATTCTGTAGGATTATAATCATTTTTCACTTTCAGTTCATCCAAAACAGGATGAGATTGCGATTGTACAATCTGCTGCTGCTGCTGCTGCTGTTGTTGTTGTTGTTGTTGTTGATGTTGCTGCTGCTGCTGTAATTGCTGTTGCTGCTGTTGCTGCTGATGCTGCTGTGGATGTGGTTGCGAATGTTGCTGCGGATGTTGTTGATGTTGTTGTGGCGGCGGCTGTTGTTGTTGCTGTTGATGGTGTTGTTGCTGTTGGTGTTGATGTTGTTGTGGCGGCATATGAATTTGTGATTGTGGAGGTGATGGAGGCGTTGTAGGCTGTCTATTCCAACATGGAGGAGGAGGAGGTCTTTGCCTTTGAACTAGTGGTGGAGGTGGTGGAACAGGAGGTTGTACCTGAGGCGGTGGTGGTGCTGTTGGAGGAGGAGCAGATGATTTACCTTCACCCCATGTTCCAATGTCCATATTATGCTTTCCAGGCACAATAGGTGGTGGAGGCATGCCAGCCTTCTTTCTCATTCCTTGGGAAGATGATAGCGGAGGTACTGGTTTGGCTGGTTGGCTTGCTACACTGGCCCATGTTATTTTTCTAGGCTCCTTTGGTTCTGGTTTAATCGGTTGAGTAGATGTAGTTTGCTGTTCTTGCCGTGGTACCTCTCCACTTCCAAGAGACAACCCCTGTACACTTTGTTCAATAGCCTTAATTTCGGTATTACTAGGTGTTGGATAATTTTCATTTCCACGTGGAGCTTGATAATAATCCTCGTAACGTGTCTTTCTTGGAGTGCCCCAAGCACTAAAATCACCATTTCCATGAAAATAATTGAAAGTAGGCTGACCAAATGTACTAAAACCACCTCCTGCACTAGCAGAGAACATTCCATCCATGCTATATCCATCATGACTTATTTGACCTCCATATCCGGAAAGAAATGTAACGGGATCTGTTCCATTTGACCAAGTACCATCCCCGGCACCGAATGTTTGATAAGGGAATGAGGTACCTGCATAGTAAGTACTATATGGGTCACCAGTACCAATTGGATAACTTGAATGATGCGTATTGTTGCCTCCTCTCCATGAATCAAATCCAGTATCTTCTCCACCAGCATGTTCTGTCTGTGGTTGTTGCTGGTGTTCTTTGGGACCATTGCTCACTAACAGAGATGGAATTTTGTCTTATTAATGTACTAAGTGTACTCTATATTCGTTAAATAATCTAAAAATATTTCTTTAATAACTTGATAAGACTGCAAATTTTTAATTAAAAGAAAACACTGTTACGTTACTTAA